CAAACAACGTTCCATGTAAATTTGGACGGTGAAGAATATATCATAAAATCTTTCAAGATGCTTCATCATCACCCTTTTAGTAGCGCATAGATGATTCGTGATCCACGGACCAGAAGATTGTTCTCAGGAGATAAACAAAAGTTTTGGCTGTTCATGCCGCAGTCACCATCAACAGATGAGGCAGTAGAAAGTATTAAGGACCAAACTAGAAAGCAGGTCAATACTGCTGATGTGAAAACAAAGAAAGCTCAATTCTCCACTGGTAATTGTATATATTTCAGGTTGTTCCATAATAACAAAACAATTTTATTTCTCAGACTAAGTAAACAGTATGTATAGATTTATCGAAGCCAAAAACGTATAAACAACAAATTATTGGGCGTTCCGCAATGCTAGTGAAGGGAAAACATGACAGTTTCCACTTGTGAATCATTAATAACGAAATAAGACTTCAGTTTCTCTAATGCTTACTATTTTGTAGTTTTCCTTAGTATAGAATACAGACTACGAATATAAGTGTGAAGACTTGACAGGTACAGTTTTCAATGTAAAGTTCTTTATAGTAAAATATTTAACTTATTTGCGTGTCAGCCAGTCAGCTACAAAGTATCACGTGGCACATATATGCATCCATTCAAGTTGCCACTCCTCAACAAAATGAATAGCCGATCCGTAGAAGCAGGTTAGTTAGTGGCAGTAATATATATAACAAGACTGCAAAGGATTAGTTCGTAAAAAGAAAGGTATAGAGCAATCTTAATCTCACTGTTTAAGGGAAGGCGTGTGTATATACCTACATCAATGTGGGCAATTCTGAGTCATGTAACCCAGAGTCTTCAACGGTGATGGTCGTACAGATCGCAACCAAGTAGTCTGCATCTACCAACATAGACCCTCACCTAGTTATTTAGTACTGGCAAAAGGAATTGGAGGCACCAAACAAACCAATTCGAAAAATTCAGGTAATACTATGAAATTTAAGAAAAATCTAATTACAACGTTCATAATGATATTAGCAATACACAGTTTACGTACAATAACGGCATCATTGGGAGGCACTATTTAAATATTACTCCTCAATATGTATCAGACCTTTGTTTATAATTTGGTCAGTGATAGCAGATTCTGGTTTACAAAAATCCTTTCGCACTCTCCATAACAGACATCACAAATTTGTTTTTACTAGCAAAATAGTTCAGTTACCATGTTCGAAACAAACATGCATCGTTTTACTGATGAAGAGTATGTCAATAATTAGCATGATACAGTGGTGTTACATAAAGTTCCTGTATATGTTCAGAAAGCGGGGAAAAGGCTAGTAGCGTCAACCATTACCCATATAATTCTTTCTCAGATAAGTTACATTTCAATATGTCAGTACAGCAAAAAGTAATGATACCTACAATTGTTAGAACTGTTTACGGTTGTATAATACCAACTTTCAAAAATTGTGGTGGTTCCCAGCAAAAGGATCTTATACAAGATATATCGATACACTAGGTTAATAATAATATACCAAGAGCGTTAACAGTAAAAACCAAAGGTAACAAAATACAGTTAGGATACAAATGGTGTATTAAACAAACATATAATAACAGTTATTATGGAATGAATGTTACTTGTAAGCTGCATCGTGGGATAACAACCACAAATTGAGTTCCTCTGCAAGTGAATGCACGAACGGCGTAATAAGAAAGACAGAGTCCAATAGTATTACTTACTTATTTACTTACGCCTGTTACTCCCAATGGAGCATAGGCAGTCAACAAGCATTCTCCAACTCACTCTGTCCTGGACCTTCTTTCCTAATTCCATCCAACTCTTGTTCATTTTTCTCATTTCTATATCCATTTTCCGGTCTTCCTTTTTTCCTTTGGCCTCCAGGATTTCATGTGAGGGCTCGTCTTGTGACGCAGTTGGGTGCTTTTCTCAATGTGTGTCCTATCCACTTCCAGCGCTTCTTCCTTATTTCTTCCTCCGCTTGAATCTGGTTTGTTCTCTCTCACAGTACGTTGTTGCTAATAGTGTCCGGCCAACGGATCCGAAGTATTTTGCGTAGGCAACTGTTAATAAACACCTGTATTTTCTTGATGATAGCTTTCGTAGTTCTCCAGGTTTACGTCCCATACAGTAGAACCATCTTGACATTTGTATTGAAAATCCTGACCTTAATGTTTGTTGACAGTTGCTTTGGGTTCCAGACGTTTCTCAGTTGTAAATATGCCGCTCTTGCTTTGCCGATCCGCGCCTTCACATCTTCATGAGATCCACCATGTTCATCAATGATACTGCCCAGATATGTAAAGGTTTTTACATCTTCCAAATCTTGTCCGTCAATTGTGATTGGATTGGTGCATGCTGTATTGCATCGGAGAACCTTGCTTTTCCCTTTGTGTATATTGAGACCTGCTGCTGCTGAGGCTGCTGTTAAACTGGTCGTCTTCTCCTACGTTTGTTGTCGCGTGTGCGATAGAAGGGCCAGATCATCTGCGAAGTCTAGATCGTCCAATTGCTTCATAAATGTCTATTGTATCCCGTGTTTCCCTTCAGATGTTGATGTCTTCATGATTCAGTCGATCACCAGAAGAAAGAGAAAGGGTGAGAGTAAGCAACCTTGCCTGACACCGGTCTTCACTTCGAACGACTTTGTCAACTGTCCTCCATGCACGATTTTGCAGTTTGATCCATCATATGAATTCTGTATGATATTGACTATCTTCTGAGGCACGCCGTAGTATCGAAGAAGCTTCCATAGTGTTGTCCTGTCTACGTTGTCAAACGCTTTTTCGTAGTAACTGAAGTTGATGTAGAGTGGTGAATTCCATTCAATTGATTGTTCCACAATAATCCGTAGAGTTGCAATTTGGTCTGTACACGATCCATCCTTACGGAATCCTGCCTGTTGGTCACGAAGTTGGGCGTCTACGCAGTCCTTCATTCTGTTTAACAATACCCTGTTGAAGACTTTTCCTGGTATTGAGAGAAGAGTGATGCCCCTGGAGTTATCACATTTGCTGAGATCGCCTTTCTTCAGTATTTTGATCAGAACTCCTTCTTTCCAGTCTGTTCGTACTTGTTCCTCATCCCAAATCTTATTGAAAAGAATGCTGAGTATCCTTGCAGTTGTCGCTACGTCTGCTTTCGATGCCTGTGCTGGGATGTTGTCCGGTCCTGCTTCTTTGTCACTCTTGATTTGCCTGGTGGCCATGCTGATTTCTTCAATTGTTGGTGGGTCAACATCGATTGAGAAGTCCGTGGATTTTGCTTCGATGTTGGGTGGATTCAATACGCCTGGTAAATTCAAGAGTTCTTTGAAGTGTTCTACCCACCTGTTTTGTTGTTCTTCAATGTTAATGATTACTTTGCCTTACTTACTTCTCACTGTTCGTTCTGGTTTACGGTGATTTCCAGTGAGTTTCTTTTTTATGTCATACAGTATTCTCATGTTCCCTTCTCTTGCACCCTTTTCCACTGTTATTGCTTAATCCTCCACATATTTACGTTTGTCAGTTCTGATGCTTCTGTGTAATCAGCTTGTGCCTTGGCTTTTTCTGCTCTTGTTCGACTGGTATTGATTGCTGCCTTCTTGTTCCTCCTTTCTTGAATCTTATTCAGTGTATCAACAGTGATCCGTTCCTTGTGATGGTGCTTCTTGTGACCAATGACCACATGACATGTTGAAGTGATTGCCTCTTTGATCTCCTTTCAGTTGCTCTCCATAGTAGTTCCTTCTCCATTCAGTAGATCATGAAAGTCCTGGAACTTGTTGCTGAGGGCTAACTTGAATTTGTTGAGTTTGTTAGTATCCCGAAGAAAGGCCGTATTGAACTTTTGTGATATTATCCACCCCGTTGTCCAGTACTACTTGAGTTTCAATTTCATCATGGCGACCAGCAAGTGATGGCCTGATGCTATATCAGCTCCTCTCTTAGTTCTCACGTGTTCCATCGTCCTCCTGAACGTTTTGTTGATGCAGATATGGTCAATTTGGTTTTGCGTAGTGTGATCCGGTGAAGTCCATGTGATTTTGTGAATGCGTTTATGTGGGAATATTGAGATGCCTATGACCAGTTTACTGAAGACACACAGGTTTGCGAATCTCTCACCGTTTTTTTTCCTTTCTCCCAGTCCATGATGTCTTCATATCCGGTGTTGTCCATTCCAACATTGGCATTCAAGTCTTCCATTAGAATGGTCAGGTCGTTTACTGGACACTTCTCGACGATTGACTGCAGCCTATTGAAGAACTGATCTTTAGAGTCTTCATTGTAGTCGTCGGTAGGCGCATAGCATTGGATGATGTTAATTGAAATGCCCTCTTTCATTGTTTTGAAGGAAGCTTTTATGATCCTTGGTCCATGAAATTCCCATCCTATAAGTTCATTTTGGGCTTGTTTGGACAAAATAAATGCAACTCATTGTGTATGTGGGGTATTTTCTTCATCATGGCCAGAGTATAACAGAAGCTCTCCTGAAGCTATACGTTGTTGTCCAACTTACGTCCGATGTGTTTCACTGATCTCAAGCACCTCCAGGTTGTATCTCCTCATTCCTGCAGGAATTTGTAAGACTCTCCCGGTCTCCCACATTGTCCGAAGGAACTCGGCTTTCATCATGAGGCGTCATAGTTCTTCTAAATGAAGACCTTTTGACTCGCAGGGCAGAGTTTAAATGGTTTGAATAATTTTTTCTGGTTAGTGTTTTTTTAGCCAGTTTTCTACAAGATGAGGTCGCTAACCACGTGCTTATCCCTCCTCCTTTATCCGGGACCGGGACCGGCAGTAGTCCCCGGCGGTACTCCAGGAGGAGTTTCCAATAGTATTATATAATAATAATCCGTGCCAAAAGTCCAAAGAAGTGTCGAAAAACGTAAAAGGATGTTATAACATCTTTATAGTCTTCAATCAAAATCTTAGCCAATAAAGCAGATGAACGAACGGCGTAGATAGGCACGGTTTAAACGTTAGGTCCTTTTGAAATGTGCCCGCCCTTTCGTTTCAGCGACCTTGAACGGCTTGATTAGAGGCGGTCATTCCGTATTTCAATTGCCGTGGGTTGGTTGATTTGCATGAGTATCAATTTTTTTCATATATAAGTCATCCTATGCTACATAAAAAGCACGAAATAAATAGCAAAACCATTAATTTAGCGTTCTCTGTTTTGTAGTGTGCACTTTGGCTCTGTTGTTGCTTTGTTATTTGATCTTTGATCCCAACAATTGTAGTAAAGCTAAACGAAATGTCAAGTCACAGGTAAATCTCAAGTATTTGTAGTATTTCCTTGGGTTATTATTGTTGCAAGGAATAACTGTTTAATAATTAGTCATGTCTGTTTTTAGTGCTTCATCCTCAAGTGACATTTCAGTCGACCTAACCTATGCCTTTCGAAGTATGATACTGAACAAGCGTTTCGTGTTGTGGGATGATTTTGAAAGTGCCTTAAAAGAGTTCCAAAAAGTATGGAACTATAATTTTATCGCTTCTCAGACTACTTATACTCGTTACATCCACACAGAAAGCAGATTGCTGAAGGATGTCAGGTTCAGATACCTGTTTGTATCGTTTAATTGTACGTTTGGTCACAAACGGAAATCGGAAGGTTTGAAAGTGAGGCAAAAATCGTAAGATCTTTAACTAATATCTTATGTTTAAGGTCTAAATTCCGTAATTGTCAATCTAAATTCCGTGTAAGACTAGAAGAGCAAGGATATGTCATCAAATCCTACAAGATGATACACAATCATCCATGTAGTAGTTCATGGATGGTATGTGATCCATGGACAAGGAGATTATCGTCGGAAGAAAAAGAGAACTTGAAGCCCGTAATACTTCACTGTGAGTCAGCAGACGAAGTTATCGAAAGTATTAAGGAGAGAACTGGTAAGCAAGTAACTGCTGCCGATGTCAAAGCTATGAAAGCTACACTCTCCACTGGTAAGTGTATATAAATATATTTCAGGTTGTTGTACTCGGAAGCAAGTAATGGATATGCTTAGACAAAAAGGCGAAGTGAGGGAGCATTTAGAAAATGGATATGCGACGAGAATATGTTTAAGTAGTTATAACCAAATACAACTCTATAGGAAATATCCAGAAGTCGTGTGCATTGATTCTACGTATAATACTAATAATAAAAAGTGAATATGTTTATCGTTGTGTTTTACTATGTAGATATTCCTTATTCCAGATAGTGGTGACGGATATTTTCGGTCGAGGTCGAACTGTAATGTCAGTACCTGTCACGTTATTGGATGGCACGTAAGACAATGTGGGCCCGTGCCTTTTACGGTGATGTTTTAACATTGGGTAACAGCACGAATAATCGTGTTGAATCGCTAAATCGGCAAGTAAAACGATATGTACGAAAAAGTGACAGTCTGTACAAATGTATGTACAAGGCTTTAAAATGGAGTGAAATGATGTCAACTAGAAGAAGTGTCGAAGATCAATTGATAGCCGGAAGATATTATAAATATAATGCTCCACAACGTTTAATACCCTTGCTAAATATTTTGACGCCATTCGCAAGATCTAAAGTGTTATACGAGCTTAAACAAATGCGTTTTGTCTACGTGGAATATGAAAGCGGCGACTGGTTGTTCATGGTTGACCGTGGACAACATTATGAAGTCGATATAAGCATTTGTCAATGCAATTGTAGCATGTTTATGATGTGTCGATATCCCTGCCGTCACATGCTACTTGCCTACGTTAAAAGAAGAAATCTTACAGGTAAGCTATATCAATAATGAAATACTAACTGCATAGCTCATCAACTTCTTAGGTATTGTAGCAGATGGAAGTTACACAATACCCAGAACTTCCAAAATTATACATTAACTGCATTACCACGACGGAGTGAAGAGTATGTAAGTATTCAACGCAGCCAAAGAATCCATAAACATCGCATCATTGAGAAGTATGGTGAACGCTTCGCAACAGAAGTTGAGAAGAAAGTTGACAATTATTACTTAAGAATTCTTAATACCAACTTGTAAACTTGATTTTCTGCTTTAGCAGCAATGATTCTTCAATAAACTTTCATAATTTCAATTTTCATCTTATTACTACTTTTATGGGAATGAATAGCAATGATGTTCATGTGTAACTGTTTGTAATAATTAAGATTGATTAAGAAACCCTACATCCGCGTACAGTTTTGCAGATTAGGCACCCACATATCATATTCACCTTCGTGGGATTACGTTTATCATTAAAATCGTATCAGGACCTATGTACATTTTAAGTTCATGTGATTAATTCCGCTTATGAATCAAAATAAAACCAGGAGAAATGTTGATTAACAGTGGTATGCATTCATTACAACTAAATATGCAATAGGATTTAACAGTGATGTGGGAAACAGTTGACATACCTGAATATGAATAAATGAAATGACGCAGGTTATCAATAGTGAATATATATATATATATATATATATATATATATATATATATATATATATATATATATGCAGTGTAAGGTCAAAGGTCATTTGCTTTTACAGTCAATAACACATTAAGAATGGGTGATATAATAGTTGACTGTAGTTCACAGACAGATAAGTGGTGTGAAAATCTTATAGCTTGTAAATGATCCGTGGATTTAAGAACTGAAAACTTGAGTTACGTCATAATTGATTACAATTTGCAGAGGTCACGTAATTACAGAGGATTAAGTGACAGGGTGATGGAAAAAATGCGTAACTAAATTTTAAAAGTGAAATGAATTATTACATAATCATTCTTATTACTTGTTCATTCCATAGATTATAAGGAGTTCATATTATTCTCTATCTATATTTGTTCTAGCGTCATATCGACTATTAATAAATACTGACATGGTTTATAACGTAAGACACTAAGTGTAGTTGCTATATTTATATTTCACTAATTCATTTGTTGAATAAAAATGATTTTAATATGGTCTTCCATAATCACAAATTCTATAAGTTGTAGACCGGCGTAAGCATCATCACAAAGCTTTGACGACTTCATTTGATTCATACAATTCTGAAAAACAAACAAATCAGTCGTGAAATAAAGAATTAGACCTAGTTATCAATATCACATTTAATAAGTCAATCAAATAGCAGGTTACAGAATGTACTTATAAGTCTCTTATTTGCAGACAGCGCTAATCATTAGAGATTTCTATTTCCTATAATAAAAATTAATAGGTAATCTTTACAACACACAAATCAGTGTTATTTAAAAATTGCTGAAATCAGGTTCGTCACAACATAGAAGCGTGGTCGGATTTATGAATAAAATGTAATTCAATAATGTGGCATAAAGGCGATATGAATACAAGGAACTTGTGATTCTGCTTCCATTGCTCATTCACTTTTCGTCACGTTGTCTGCATGAATTACTTTGGACGAGTCAGTCTGTAATGCAGTAGGAATTCATGAAATAACTCATTAATAGTTGTTTTTTTATTTAAGTTTGTGTCTTAACAAGCAATGGAAATTTCTTCAGTGTCTAACCCTTGTAGTATTTCGTCTATATATCTGGTATTAGCAGGAGAAATTGGTAAGCACCATTTAGATATTACTCGACAATATGCATCATAACTTTGTTCACATTTTCTTCTGCGATTGTGTATTTCCTTTACAGAGAATTATTCGTCAACCCTCTAACAGACACATCATAAGTCAGTATTAAGTAAGACATGGTTTAGTCACCATGCTCAGAAGAGACACACATCGATTTACTTATGAAGATTTCGTGCATATTTAATGTGGTGTTACACACTATTTCTGTATAAGTTCAGAAAACCGGTAAAAAAAGACTATCAACGTCTATTGTTACTCACATAATTTTTCTCTGATACCTTACACAGTAATATATCACTTCAGTACAAAACAATGCTACCTATAGTCCAAATAACCTTTTATGGCTAAATACAAACAATTTATATAATATTCATAGTTACTTTAACGCTTACTTCTTTCTAATTACATTTTATAAACGACTACCAACATCTGTGTTTGCCGTCACCATAATCAAGGAGGTGAACCATATATAATTCTTTTTACGGCTTATTTTCATGAAAACTCAATCTGTAATCTATTTTTGACTAGAAAAATGGTGATTTGACTTCTTTGACTTAGTATTGTTAAAAAAAACCATATTACGCCAGCTACATATTTACTTAGGTGGTGAGCACGAAATACGTCAAACTGCTTATAAATTGAAACAAAAACTATCTTCCAATCACAAAGATTACGAAAAGTCATGTATGACGGAAAAAAGGCTGTTAATAGCTGATAAATAACGACACATAAAATCCACGACAATACGTTACACGTGCACGAAAACCCGTAAACTAACAAGCATACTGTGCCGCGTAGATAGCGTTTTATATTTTAAACAACGCGGTCGTAAACTTTTATCTTAATCCTCAAACAATTATCGTCGTTTTTTAACAAGTGATACAGAAAAACAACGGATATTGAATAAAAATGTGGTAACATATAAAGTGTGACAAATTAGTGTAAAAATGCGGTTTTAATTTTGTTGTTACAAAAATCACTGAATATACGTCACCATAAAATAGTTTGGTGCAGAATTACTTCAACCTGCATTTACTAAACAACTACCAGATATCTATGCTCACGAATACGAACAACCGCACTAAGTGGACTTCACATTAACTAAGGTATGAACAACATTCACGTCAAAGTACTGATTAAGTGGGGGTAAAAACTACATAACGAAAAGGAACACCGAAAAATTGACATGTGACGGCAAAAGTGCCATTAGTAGCTGATAAATAATAATATCTAAAATAATTAATAACATGTAACATACACGCGGGAACCCATAGCTTAACTTATTTTCACGCCTGAACGTATTATATTTGGAACCCGCAATCAAGTAATAAAGGATCACTAGTTAGTACTGATACCAAAACATCGAATAGGACAATGTTAAAAGCTAAGTATCCTGTGAAGATTTTTTTCTTAACACCACCTTTTAAATTTTCTTACAGTCAAGACAACGTAGATCGCCTGTAAACGATCTCTTTCATGATTGTTGAGAATACTAAAATCATACGTATAGATCTACTGATGTTAAAATCACTACGTGATTCAGTTTTGAATCAGGGGATAGTAGGCGATGATATCCATGTAAATGGCTATGTTTTACGATATCTGTATATGTTGAAGATATTCAGACTACACTATTGTAAGTTGCAATTACCATAGATAATAAACGATGCGTACATACTATCAGGTTCATATTCACAGATTTTTTAAAGTAACTGGAGTTCGCTCAACAATAGCAAAAGAGAAATGGAATATATGCATACACCAAAATCATAACTGAGATATTGGTTTACACGATGATATCTATAACTCCGCCAGTAGTTCTCCTAGAGTTAATGCCGATCTCAAGTCCAAGTGAAGGAGGAGGGTTGAGTATGGAGTCAGCAACCTCACCTAATAGAAAACAAGATTAATAAGCAAACGCTAACGAAAACAAATGAATTAAACCATCTAAACTCTGACTTCAGAATTGAAGGATATTCATTTGAAGGATTATTACGCCTCCTAATGAAAGTCATGAGGCCGATAACTCTTCTAACAACCACATCAACAATCGTTATAAGTAAATGGAATGTTCTGACAATATAAGAGACTGGGAAGATCATTCAGATAGCTGCAAAAATGAGTAGACACAACTTGACGGTTCTTGAATTCGCTAAAACCCATTAGATCCAAGTTGGACAGAAAACGTTAGATTCAAAAGAGATGCTGCTGTACTCTGGTCACGAAAATTCTCATGGACCCAGGATCATCAAAGCATCATCCAAAACAACGAAGGAGCTAGTTCTGAAGTCAGACATAGAAGAAACTGCAAGTATGCTCCATGTTCTACTCAGGAAGATTTGGGAGGAAGAACAGGTAACGAAAGACTGGAAAGAAGAACACCTCTTCAAGACACCGAAGAAAAGAGATCTGGGCAAGTGTGAGAACTACAGAGGCATCGCACTACTGTCAGTATCAGAAAACGTTTTCAGAAGAGAGCTGCCGAACCGTATAAAAGACGCAGTACGCACCCCACTCCGAGCCCAACAGGCCAGATTCCGCAAGAATCTGTAGTGCACTGACCTAGTAGTACGGAACTCGTCACCATACATCAACTTCATTGACTATGAGAAGGCGTTTGACAGTGAGGATAGGAGGACATCGTTGAAACGTCTTCGAAATCATGGTGTACTTGAGAAGATCGTCAGCATCATACAGAATTTATACGATGGACTACAATGCAAAGTGGAACATGTAGGAAAGATGACAGGTGCATTCCAAGTAAGGACCGGAGTCAGAAAAGACTGCCCATTCTCCTCCTTCATTTTTCTTCCGGTGGTCGACTGGATTATGAAGACCTCGACATCTGAGAAGAAGCACGGAATGCAATAGACAACTTGGAATCGATTAGAAGTCTTGGACGTCGCAGATGACCTGACCCTTCTATTCCATACACTCCAACAAATACAGATGAAGAAAGCAAGTGTAACAGAACAAGGAGGATGCGACACAGACGTATAGGTAAAGATTGGAAAAGCAAAGACCACATTCCTACAATTGGAGAACATACGGAACTTAAAACAACCATCAACTAATATCAAAGTCAGAACCTTCAATATCAATGTCAAGGCAGTTCCACTATACGGAGTTGAAACTTAGAGAACTATTACAACCGTCATCAAAAGGGTACAAGTATGTATAAAAAATTGTGTACGTGAGATACTGAATGTCCGTAGGCTGGATACCCTCAACAACAGTCTACTGTGATAGAGGACAGACCAGCTTCGAGCTGAGGAAGAAATTAGGAAAAAATGTCGGAAGTGGATAGGCCATACATTACAGAAATCACCAAACTGTATCACGACGTAATCCCTAACTTGGAAGCCTGAAGGAAAACGGAAAAGAGGAAGGCAAAAAACACACTATAGCGAGAATCGGAAGCGGAAATGAAATGGATGAATAGTAACTGTAAACAAATGGAAAATATTTTCCAGGACAGAGTTGAACGGAGAGTGCT